AAAAGATAAGAAACCTTTTGTGTCTTTAGATTCATTAAAAACAGTCGCCACACCCGAACTCGGTGTTACATCCGAATTCGCTATAGACGCATGAATTTTATACTAATGTATGCTTTAAATTCAATGGACTTAGATTTAACGTTGCTATAGCAAAATGGTCGCTATAACCAAGGACGTAACAAATGAAATCCGCTGTATTTTCATTTGTGGTTTATTTGTGATAATGAACTCGCTTATAATGTAAATAATTCAAGTATAAGAAACTAATCTGCAAATTTTGTGGATTTTTTCGCTACTATTATACTTATAAGTTAATACAAAGGACTCCAACTTTATGGAAAAAAAAACTTTTGGGTGTTTCAAGGTAGGGCGGAAGGCCCTCTTCAGCCTGCTTTCAGGAATTGTGGGAATGGGTAGGTAGTGGTTCCGGTGAGAAAGATGAGACGGACGAAATGAAGACAGAAGAGAATGAAAGATTATCTGTGGAATATTACTGGCTCGGCATTTGCCTAAATGATCCACGGAAACCACAGAAAAACTTGGACCAAGGCAAACGGACCCGGAATTAAACCGGCGTCCTCCCGAATGCTAAGCAATGGTCTAAACCTCTAGGCCATGCCGCTCGGTTTTATGGAAAATAGCCTATATCTTTATGACTGCATCTGCTTTTTAGCGCGAGTGTCCATCCAGCAGCTCAGACGTGGACCACCTACTTCCGTTTCCTCCCCAATACTCCTCTCCTTCCACACTCTTAGCCCAATTCCCACCTCAACCCTATCCCCAATCCCCAGCTTTACACCTTTTTCCCGGGGTTGAGCAATCTACAGGGTTTATCTCCCCGCCCGAGGGGTTTTAGACGGTAAGAATCCGACACTACCTCCCTTCAGGGGGTGTCTTTTGAAGATTTCCAAAAAAAAAAACGCAATGCAATTCATTCACCAAATGAAGCCACTGTGTGCTGAAACGGTCGCAGTGGCAACATTATTAAGATTTTTCTTTTGACAAATGAAATCTATTACGGATTACGCCTTTCTGAGACCACACAGTGGTTGTTTGTAATTCTTGAAATCGTTTTACGTATTTTTACATTATTCTGCTTAGTTTGCAATTCATGAAATCATGACGAATGTAGGTCGACACAAAATTCCATTTAATAATAATAATGCACGCAAGCACTACGTGGTGGTGTCCAGTAAAAAGTTCAAAGCCGAATGTGGTTGAGAAGATTGTAGCTATACCGCGATTGGTAACACAGAACAGCGGCAGAAAATAATGACTCATAAATTTCTGCATTCAATTTCAGTACTTTTTAAGAAAAGTTGAGATTGGGAATATGTTGTTTATCCTTATTAAATAGAAAAAAATTAGGATTAGTTTGTTTATTTTAAAGTGGGTACATTCTCTAACGCATAGGTAATTTATTGTCTCATACGGGATTTTGGCAAGCCGATGAAGTAAGTTCTTACTTAAACGTCTTCCTTATTCTTATCTGCAAGAAGACATCTATATATACGTATATGGTAAGTAAAATAGGTAGTAGATAAGCTGGAACGCAGTCAAGCAAACTTTTTTCTGACGGTGGCGATGATCAAACATTTAGCATCAGCATCATACTTCGATTTAGATGATTTCTAATCGGGTATTCGTTTTTATAAGTATTTCTAATAGTTGATGCTTTTTTTTTTTTAAAGAAATACCTCGCGCTGAAAGCGGTTTAACAGCGTCATACTAAGTGCTTAACAAAAATTGCAAAAAGAAGTTCTAGGCAGTTTAACAATCTTCGAATTACTGGTAACCTTTAAACCATTCGAAATTCGTGGAAGTTCTGATATAATACTTCACGAATTATGATAAGTAGATATTGGGTATTAAAAAACTACTTTTTTTAACATTGTTTAATAATTAATCAATTAAAAAAATAACAGAATTAAAGTTTTTAATAAAGTTTTGTAGGGGTACTTCGATTTTATAGGAGAACATCAAAAAATGGTGAAATTTAAATTTTATGGTCAACTCGTTTACTTAACATTTCAGTAAAGTTGCACAAATAATTAGAACTTCTTAGTTTACGAAAACCATAAAAAAGCGCATATAAAATTATTGCATGAAGCAGTTTATNATACGTAAAATAACTTGTTAATAAATATAATAAATATTAAACCTTGCTCAGCATTGAAATGTTGTAGATGGTAGTTTGTTTAAACGTTCGTAATTATGAATTTATTGTGTGCAATATACGTGGGTCATGCAACACGCCTCCAAAAAAATAAATTAAAAAAATTACATGAAAATACATAAAAAAAGTTTAGCAATGTATCATTTAATGCGTTAACTGGACGAAACAAGTTTTTATATGTCCCAACATGTCGTAGGTGGATGCAGGAGACCCAAGGGCGTTGGTATAAGAAGTAATGAACTAAAAATATACCACTTATTGCAAATAATACCCGCTTGATATACGGAGTGTCCCACCGAAAGTAGAATAACATGGTTATTTTTGTTAGTAGGTAGGCATAAAAAAGAGTCGGTTAAAATAACCGAGCGGCATGACCTAGAGGTTTAGACCATTGTTTAGCATTCGGGAGGACGCCGGTTCGATTCCGGGTCCGTCTGCCTTGGTCCAAGTTTTTATGTGGTTTCCTTGGATCACCTAGGCAAATGCTGAGGCAGTAATATTCCACAGATAATCTTTCATTCTCTTCTGTCTTCATTTCGTCCGTCTCACCTTTCTCACCCGAACCACCACCCATCCACTCCCACGATTCCTGAAAGCAGGCTGATGAGGGCCTTCCGCTCTACCTTCCGGCGTAGTCCGGAGGGACTGCCCGCCCACCAACATTACTGGTTGGTGGGAATGAAACATCCAAAAGTTTTTTTTTTCGGTTAAATAAGAGAAGTACTACAGAGTTTTGTGCTAATTGACATGTCTTATAGGGGAAACGGGCTAGTTGAAATTTATTTTGGTTTCTGATGTTTTATTTTTTTTATAGGTTGGTACAAGTACTTACAGTGGTTCTGATTAATGCAGTGGATATCCTAACTACACAATCATGTCACCGTCATAAGGTCGTCAGTCCCAAGACTGGTTGGACACGCACCTCCACTCTTTCCTATCTTGAGCTAATCTTCGCATTTCCCTAAAACTAGAACATCCCACATCCTTTACTGTTTGTTAATAGTAATATAATCTAGGTCTACGTCTACTCTTCTTAACTCATGTTTCTGCTTCTAATAAGTCTCTGAGTAAGGACTACTCAGCATGAAGGACTCATGCTCAAGAAGGTCTCCTACCAATCTATCTCGCCTATTTCTTATTGATTTCCGTAAAGTCCTCTGTTCTTCTATTCTTTCTCATACCTCTTCATTTCTAATTTTATGTTTCGCAACCGTACAACGTCGCCCTCCAGACATACTTCTTTAACAATTTAAAGCTATCTCTAACTCCTCCTTTCTAGGTGCTAATACTGCTACATTATCTGCAAATCCACGCATACCAAAATCATGTATTACCCATTAATTAAATTAGTGTTTTAATATTCTCAAAAAGGCTTTGAATATATAGGGAAAAAATTTTAATAAGTAAATATGTACTCGGAAAGCAATTATTGATCAATATCATCAATTTCCAATTTTGGGAAACTTTATGAAAAATTGATATAAAACAGAAATCATCATAATAATCAATTTGGATTGAAAATTGGTCTAAAAGAGCAATTGACTCAGTTGATCATCACCTGTTATTTAATAAACTAAGCAGTTATTATATTCTGAAAATTGCTCTAGATTTAAAAATTATTCATAATCATTTCTGTCATAAGTGTCAGCTCTACACGGGAATCCTGATGAGCTCTACATTGAGGCCTTCACTTTTTCTAGTGCATAATAATAACATTTTTGATTTATTCGCTAACGAACATATAATCCTGTATGGGGATGATACGATTTTAATGTATACAAATAAAGCCCGGAACTTGGCTTCTAAGGGAATGAATGAATTATTTAGATTTACTGATGTGGTTTACTAATAAGAATCCTAAAAATTGATGATAAAACAGTCTACCTTATATTTGCCACATACGATGGTAAACCACCCCCGTTGATGGTACTTGAAATTAATCGGACATTCATACAAAGAGTCCATAGACAATACGAAATATCTAGGAGCATCTTTCGTCAGAACTTGAAAACGGAGCGGCATATTTCCAATAATTATTATCGATATATCGATAACAATATTAGCAACTTATAACCATCGATATCTGTTTCGATATATAAACAACTGTCGATGTATCGATAATTATTAATACATTGATATATAAGCACATCAATTTTAATTCATAATAAATATTGTTTCTAAATAAATTCGTATGACATAAGTGTATAACTGGTTATTTTTTACTTATTTTTTTCTTAGAAAATATCCAATTTCAAAAATATTTAAAAAATTCCATAATTACCAGTATATAAATATTAAGGTGTTTCAAAACAAAATACTATTATTTTGTTTTTTCGAAGAACATTGAAAAAAAAACGATAGAGTAATCCCTAGTTCTTCTTGAACTTTGTAATTTCATAACTCGACATCAAATAGTTGTCGACATATCGATATACATATTCGATAATTATCGATAGTTATCAATATATCGATATAAAATAAAACAAAATTAAATACTGAATATCTTTAACAGTTCATGAGCTTTTAATTTTTGGCTTTGGCATAAAATTAACTCCTAGAAAGCTCCTAATTTCGGCATTTTCAAAATTAATTTCGGCCACTTTGTAATCCATCTTCAACGGTTGCTTACATATTTACGTCTTTGAACTCGCACAATAACAGATATATGCGTTACGTGTATGTTTAAAGCTCAAACACACAAAACATAATAACGTACAATACGTAGGTACCAACATGTAAACATTAACATTTGTAGATGGAAGTGGTGGTGGTGATGGTCTGTGGCAGACGTCGTAACCGTGGACGCCGAGGTGATTCGGAGATGATGCTATTATGGAGATGATCTAGAGTGCGGTATAAAAGTCTTGTCAAATCACCGGTTCCACTTAGTGCACGGTTTTTATCCCTGTCATCTTCTTCGTGCAACGTGCCTTTTAGTTCTACCTTTAGTTCTACTTCTACCATCTACTTCTTATTTGGTGCTTCGCGAAATTTGATTGTAAGTACCTAATGCAATGTTATCATTTATCGATTTTTAAAAGTACCACAAATGGGATCAAATAGCAACTCAGTTGTGACTACGTATACGCGGCTAATTATCGTCAGTGTTCGTTTTAACAAAGTGAAGTTTTATTGTAAGGGGTGAGAGTAGTTCATAAATGATCTAATGCGTATGCTAAGCAACAGTGAATAGGCAGGATTATCAGAGTATTACTTAAAGTGGACATGCACAGGCTGGGGTTTCGCGCTTGACCGAACGTTGATGTTCCCTGTTTTTCAATGATATTTTAATCCTATACGTTTTTTTAACCTTTCTGCGTTTATCGCTTTCCTTTTAATTAGTAAAATATACAATTTTCTAATGGCTATAAGCATTTTTACACATTTAAAGTGTTGTTTTAATACTCAAAATTCGGATTTAGAAAATTCTTTCAAAATACTCTTATTATAACTTTATTAACTAATTTTTTGATTAAATAATTCTTGCAGAGAGGCACAAGTGAACAAATAGTCATTTATAGTTTACCAAGTATAGTTTATGTTTATGGTTTTTAACAATTCATTATTTTCTTACTGTTGTGAAAATTTTAGTTGGAATATTAAAAGCAAAACTTGAAAAGTAATAAGTAAATGTACATTAAACTATTTTACAGTTAATTACACTTTGTTCAAATGAACATGAGGACATATGTAGGTAATTTTTGCTCAAATTTCTTGTGGTGAAAAGTTATAACCTTCTTTAATCAATTAAATTGTTTAGAAAGTGAAGTTATAACAACAATATGATTAATTGAATCAATATCTGCTTTCTCATTAATATAAAGCCATAAAGCTATAAGTATTATTACAATTTACACAATCAGGTTCAATGAAGTTAATTTTTAGGTTTTGTTAATTCTGTTCGTCTGTTAGAAACTTTAATTTGAATAATAAATAACAACATGTAGGTCCTTGATCAAAACTAGAGTAGATTCACAATTTTGTTGTTGTTAAACAAAAATACAATTTTATTTCAAAGGGACGACTACCCCTGGGGTCAAATACGTTGATAAAGATTCTTGAGAAGAGAAAAACTCTGGGAATTATCTTTTAAGTTAATTTCAAAAATCATTATTACATAACAGATAGTAATTCCTCTTTAATGTTAGTTACATTCTATAATTAAACAACTACTTTTCCAATGGTATAAAATCTTGAAGCTTTTAATAAAATATTATTAACATTATTTTACTTATTAACCTACAATTTCTGAAAGTTATCCAACAAGATGATTGCAGAGTATTTATGGTCAATAATTTAACATAATATCAAGATGCCTGAAAGGTATAAGTACTTTAACTTTCTTCTTCATTTTCTTGTTCCTTCTTGCTACGCAATAATCGAGAAATTTTTGGAATCATAACTGATGGTTATTACATAGCAGTTACGCGTTTACATTGAAATTTAAATTATCTATTTAGCATGTAGGTTGGTTAATAGAAAATTTTCTTCGAGTATTCGTACATTTGTCAAACGGAGGGTACGGCAACCAGACAATTTATTTGCATTTTAGAACCTCGCTCATCTTCGCCGTTTCTTACAAAGGTTGCGCTACGAAATTACTGTTATTGCTTACATTTATTTAACATTTAATGTTTCGCAGTTTTCAATAGTTCGCAGGCTTTATCACATAAGGTCAGCCAGGTATACGTTTATATTTAAACGTTGTATTTACGTGTGCAGATATTTGTTGGTAGGTATATATGTATGCAGTATACGTTACTAGTGTAGGTACAGTTTTATATTACAACACGCATTTAGTGCCAGTACCATCGAATTATTTGGTTTGCTTAACGTTAATTCGTAATGGAGAAATTAGCTAGGTAATTGGTAGGTATATTGAATAAATTCAATGGAGATGAAACGTGATTTCTTTTTTATTTTATCAATTTAAATTTTGAAATGATTCGGACAACAGACCAGTGATGCAACCAGAAAGTTTAGAAGGTCAAGTATTGGAAGATATACGGAGTGTTCAAAAATGAATGAAAAAAAAATCGGTTGTCTGTAAAGTCGATTTACTGACGATAGTTGAACGTGACAACGTCATAAGAAAATACTGATGGAATGATTTCATTTTTCAAAAGAAAATTTTAATTTTATTTGTTTGATAGATATTTTGTATGGATATAGAGAAGGAGGTAAATGGAAATGTATTATTGTATAGCAGCTGTCCACGCGGACGCATCG